CCATACCTAGCTCTTACTTTTTTATGTACAATTCCCCTTCTGAATCAGGAAAGGCTTTTCTGTTTTTTTCCCCTTCTTTAATCTAGGCTGGTCTCTGTAAATTAGTTTGGTCAGTATGATATATAAATTGATATTCTTGGGACTTGCAAGCCATCATCTCAAAAATACTTGGTTTCTATTTTCCATTTTTTGAAATGCACACACTTAAGATGCTACTTCTTGGATGCCAGCCATCATGATAAGAAGCCCAGCAACCATAATGGAAGATCTCCATAGAAACAGGAGGAGACACACAGGGAAACTGAGATTTGATAGCTGGATTCCCAATGACAGCTACCAACAATTGCCAATCATCCAGCCCCTGGATAATTGCTATACACTTAATTCCTACTAATTTACAGAACTGAGATAAAAAGGTTATTTTAAACCGATTAAATTTAAAGATAGTTTGCGTAATAGTCAATGAAACAATGTATGTGTTATGCCATCAAGTATATGTCAAAACAAACCCTTATGGACTTGAACTTTGAAGCACTGCTGAAGAATCTGGGAGGACATGAGAACATTTCTAGTTCTACAAAGCACTTGCTATGGTAATATCATGTAGGTAAAATTATTATATTGTGTTTAGAGATAAAGTACAGTTTAAGAAGATGTATTTGAGTGTCAAGTTGACAAAAAGTAGAACATGACAGTTAAACTGGATTATTGGTTTGATTGGCTTCAGTACTATCTCAAGGATTAGGAAAGCACACTTCAGAACATGTCAGAGCATGTCGAGGTGTGGCTTTGGGTACTATAGCAGGACCTTGGCCCCTTTCCCTCTGAGATTGTTCCTCGGCACTGCTTCCAACCACTAGGAAACGATCAAGATTCCTCCCCCGAGCCTTTCCTCTATGATGTTTCTACTTTAGAGCCAGCTGGCTAGTAACTGAACTCTCTGAAACCATGAACCAAATTAACCTCTTTTCCTTAAATTGTGTGTGGCAGTTATTTTTTTCCCCAGCAATGAAAAAACTAATCATTACAGTAGGTTACTCAAAAACCTTAAACTA